TTTTTATATAAAAATAAATATTTATAGTTTCACAATTTATAATTATTATTAATTAAATATATATATTTTAATTTATTACATTTATATAAAATATGTATATAAAAGAAATATTTAATCATTTTTTATTTATATATAGAATATTTATAATAATAATAATAATAATAATAATATTATTATTATTATTATTATTATTATTATTATTATTATAACACTCGTATTCAAATATTTGAAAATGTATTTGAATATTTGATTACATATATAAGATAATTCATTTTTAAGTTGTCATTTAAAAATATGAAATATATAATTTATAAAGAAATATTTAATAAGTTAATTCTTATTTAATTAGTTCGGAGTAATAAAAGTTTAAATTATTACTTCTTTTTAATGCTTTAAAATAAAATTATTTTATTAAGATAAAATTTGACATATGACAAATAAGAATAATAAGATAAAAAATATGACATAATAAAATCTAATAAATATAAATTATAAATAAAATAATATTAGTTACTACTAAGATTTATGTATAATATTTAGAAAAAGATTAAAAAAAATAATTTTGTGTTCATCAAATTAGTTGAAAAAATTGAAAAAAAAATTGATTGGAGAGATTAAGGAAATGTAAAAAATGGAAAGATAAAAAAGAGAATAATTTAATAAATTAATTGATATAAAGATTAAAAAAGACAAATATAAATTAAAAAGATGATAGAAGAAAAGTAGAAATTGTGAAATATAAAAAAATGACCTTATATGTAATAGAAAAAGAAAAGAAATACTTTTAAAATATTAATATTTTGAAATTAAAATTAAAATTAAAATATAATGTCTGGGCAGGGACGATGTCAGGGTGGGGATCACATTACCCATCCTTGCCCTCACCCCTGACTTTTTAAAGCAGAAAAAAATCTGAACTCGCCCCCTGCCACCGGTTAACTTAGATTTTTCCCATCATACTCAGAACGGAAACAGGTCGGTCCCCACATGTACGAGTTTAATTATGAACCTACCTTGTATGATTTATATGGCCCCATCAAACAAACTTCAAACAATAAGAGGTATATAACATTGAAGTTCTATGTAAAAAAAAAAAAGAAGAAGATATATATGACCCCATCAAACAAACTTCAAATAATAAGAGGTATATAACATTTATCTCTGATTTTTCTATCAAAAGTTGGATTTACTTGTTTAAGGATAGAAAAAGGTTGTGAATTCACCTAAATGAATTTGAAAATTTTGAAATATTTAAGACATAGGTTAACGAAAATTTACACTCCTTAACAAAATAAAATCATTAACATGAAAAAAGATGATAATGAATGCACCTTGTTAGTTCAAAAGCATGTTCATGAGATATTTTGGTTTGAAACTGTAAGATGGTGTGTATGTGCATGTTCTCAATTGGTGTCTTATGAAAGTTGTGTAAAATAAAGCTCTTAAACTAACATGAAAAAAAAAAAATCAGAGTTGGAATTGAAAGAATAATAAATAATGTAATTTGTATATTTTTGTTAATAAAAAGTTAATTTAAATCATAAAAATGATCATGACATTGATTCTTATTATCAAGATCATTGTGTTAGTCTAACCATTTTTATTTAGATAATTATAAATAACATTTTACCATGGATTATAATTGTGTATTATATAGAGAAATTGGACTCATGAAAGCCAATTTTAGATTGAAAGAATAGGAGGAATATGAGAGTGAGACTAAGGAGTAGAAAGAAAAAATAAAATTATTTGAATGATTAATGTGAAAATGGAGAATGTTTGTTTCATAAAGATGATTTAAATGCAAGTACGATAATAACATAACAGATGCAAGTACGTGATAATAATATAAAGATATAATTATCCAATATTTTAAAAAAATTACAATACTATAATATGAAATATATTTTTTATTGATGTGGGAAAGACGTAATTACAAGGCATCTTATATGTTCAAAACTTTATAGTATGATAGAGATGATTGAAGTGTTAAAAGTAAGCTAAATGCTATAACAAAATTAAGGAAGGAATGTTATAATTATTGTAGATATAATTATTATTTTTTTAAAAGCTTTTTCTTGTTTAATTTAGGGAAATAGTTGGTTATATAGTCTTATTTCTTGGATACATTTAAATAAAGGTAGATCATAATTGTAAATATAAGTATAAGTATATATAAAGTTCATATATAAATCTAAATTATGGCAATATGTTTAATCTTCAACATAAATATTTCAAACAATCATATTAATATTAAATCTTGTAACCAACCTTTATATTGATCCAAAATTAAAATTGTATTTTTATCCACTTTATAATATCATGGTGATCCAACTCCTTACTTTAAAAATAAAATTACACAAGCATTTCATATTTCAAAATCTCGTGTTCCCAAATCATATTTCAAGACCTAAAACAAATAATATTACTAGAAAAACAAAAAACCTTCTCTTGCACTAAAAAAAAAAACTAAAGTAAAACAGTAAATTATGAAAAAAATAAATTACTTATACATTATTAAAATGGTAAGTACTTAGAATATATAATGTCAACCAAATATTTATGTACAAATTTGTACAGAAATGAAAAAAATACAACAAAAACAAAACATAAAAATAAAATAACTATAGGTTGATTAACCAACATTGCCCCACCCCACAATCTAAATTCTTAAAAAGAACAAATTTCTAACTCATTTTCTAGTTTACAAATTTGTCAAATCTTAATATTGTAGTTATATTATTTTGTTAATTGAGTTTCAATTTGCAGGATATTATCATAAGCATTTCCCATATGACTTATTATTTAAAAAAGAATGAAATGTTATGTTAATGTGCTTGTATTTCCCATAAAAAATAAGATTTTTAACCAAATTAATGGTTGGTTTGTTATCAATCAATAACTTCATATACTTTTCAACTTTAATTTCGAGTTCATGTAATAATGAATCTATTCACACTATTCAACAAGTAACAAAAGATTTTGTAATATATTTCTTCACAAATAAATGGAACTACCAATATTTGGTAAGGTATATTACTTTACAAATAGCTAAAACTACCATAGATTATTTTTACAACAAAAGTGATTGATGTTGTTAAAAAATTATAAAAATATCTAATGATGTTTCTCTTATCATATTTATTGTCACACTAACTAGACTCAATATCCAAACAATCTTATTGTTTACTCTTCCGCTCTTAAAAGAAAACATAATGTCATAATTCAAAGTATATTTCACACACTGAGATAATCTCTTTTGATGATTAATATGTGATATTTATTTCACATACAAAAATATATGAACCAATCAATTGTATAGAATGTTGAATCCATAATTTTCTATTTTTCATTTTTCAATTTTTGATTTATTTTTACCAAAGCGTTGAATTTTTTTCAAACCTATACGATTCTTTTTGGGAAAGTATATCTCAATGACATACCTATATTGATGACATATGATTGTTTTTGGAGAATAGAGAAATTTCAAAAAAAAAAACATATACCAAATCAAAAACATACTTTCGTTTCCTTTTTTTTTTTACGTACACTCCATATTTTCACAAAATATCTACAAAAGTTGTTTTGTGTAAGAAAAAACTATTTTCTTATTTTAAATTCTAGGTTTTTTTTTTAATATAGAGATTTATTTAGTTATATATATATATATATATATATATATATATATATATATATATTCTTTTCTTTTCTTTCTTCTAAAATTAATGGGGTTGAGTCACACAAACAACATTACCAAGAGGTCTATTTTTAAAATAACTTGGAGACCATGCACTAAAGCTATAATCAATTTGATCGTTTTAATCTTGATCAAGTGTATAATTTTCTAATAATCTATACTAAAACCGTTTGACCACTGACCTAGTTCTATATTTTGGAATTATATGATCAGGATTTATCTTCAGCTTAAACACCAATTTGACATCTGTTAACAAATTTACTAATTTTCAAAATTTTTTTTATTTAAATAGCCTCAATCATTTTTACATTATTGTTTTTCATTCATGCTCTTCAAGTTCCACTTCAAGATCAATTGGCTTAATACTTGCTAATAGTGTAAATTCTACTAACCCTTTAATTTGATTTAATTGTTAATTTCAAAATTTGAATATCTACTTGATCTTTTAGTTTGTCTTTGAGGTCTTTAATTATCACAAGTTTAGAATTACAGTTACTATATCTTTATCTACATTATCAATTTGATCTTCAATTACAATTAGGAGAATTGTTTTCAAGCCATTTTTATTCTTTTGTCCTTCATGAGTGAGCTTCATTCACAACCACATCTCTACTTCAATTTTTTTACTATTAAGATTTTAAAGTGTGTAAGCTCTAACAATATGATACCTGTTTGAAACATAGATATATGGTACAATCCTATATTTTTATTTAATAATTTCTTTCTCTTAATTTGAGGAATATATTTAAAACAAATATACCTAAGCAAATTCTTAGATGACTCACTATGAGCTTATTTCCATATCACATTTTCTCGGATACATTAGCCTACCTTTTAGTTGGACAGTTATTCAATGTTTAGGTTGTTTGGCAACAATGGAGAAACATTTATTATTTTATGTAATGAACAAAGGATCAATGAAGAAATTTAAAATACAGCTAGTAGGGACCATGTGTCAAACAATCTGTATGACCCAATAATCAAGCCCAACTCAAGCCTAAAATAAACAATTCAATGTTGAATGATTATGTGTGAAAGAAAAAAAATCAATATATAATTTTCTATTATGGAGAGAAGGGGTTCAGAGGAATGTATTTGTCAACCATCTCTCTTTGAGATTATATTCTTATATAATTTCTTATATGTTTGATAATAGAATGCAAAGATAATCAATAATACTATTGTAGAGTTTTCATTATAGGACAAATTATTCTTCTTTGTTAAAAAATTTTCATTATACCATTAGATTGTTACTTTTAAGTCATAACAAAATAACAAGCGTCTTCAAGAATTATCCTTCGCCATGAATTGTTTGCTAGAGATAGTGGAGATGAAAGAAAAGGAGTATTCTATCCGCTTTGAGACACTAAAATTTGTCATTGATCAATTATCACAAAGCTTTTCATGCATTGAATCAACCTCTTCTAACACAAATTTTCATCCGCCTTTCCAGGTTAGGAATGTCAAACTAGATTTTTCAAGATTCGATGGTATAGATGTATGTATTATAGTGGATTTTTAAGACTAAGCAAATTTTTAGGATATTATCACACACCTAATGAGAAAAGATTGACTATAATCGTCATTTACATGGACAAAGAAGTTGTCCCTTGATTTTAAATAATGTATAGGTCCAATCTATTTTTGACATGAATTTCACTCGATCATTGGAACTTGAATTTGGTCTCTCTATATGAATGTCATATATATAATTTGTCCAAGCTCACTCAAACAGGTTCTATAAATTATTATTATTATGTTTAATTCACTATGCCAGCTAACAATGTGCAAAGGGTACCAATAAAGACTCTATAGAATGTTTTGTGGGGAGACTTAAAATAAATATATCTTGTGATGTTATTTCTTAATCACCGCTTAGTGTCATTAGTCAAACTATATGAGAAAAAATATATGAATAAGTCGTCTTGTCCTTTACTCGTCCAAAACACAAACTCTACCTTACCTTTCACCTAAACATTAAAATTTTTCACTTTACAACCATTACTTCAAATCCTTCAAACCCCAATATGACCTTAAACTAAAGAATTCAAATTGTTAAAAGAGTTTTTTTTTTTTTTCAGAATGTAGTATTATAGAGAGAAAATATTATGTTTTACGTGTGATGAAAAGTTTTCTCTAATGCATATATAAATGTCCGAATAAGCAATATTTGTCTCTACAACCGGAAGAAGATGACAAGGATAATACCCTCTAATATTATTGAAAATATGGAAACCTTAGTATTGCAGGAACATCATTTATCCTATAATGCATTAAAAGCTTCATTTAGATTGAGTAACACTAATGGCATGAAATTTCACGTATGTTGGACATTGGGAGTTTTGATAATTTTTTATAGACTCAATTAACTAATTGTTTAAAGTTTCCAGTGGAACCAAATCTAAACTTTCAAGTGTTGGTAGGGAATGATAATGCTTGAGTGGCTAAAAGATTGGTCAAAAGTTAAAAGTAATAAGATCATATTTGTTTCAAATTTCATATGTTGACTTGGTTTTGGGGTCTGTTTGGTTAGCAACATTTTGACATTATATTGACTAATAATCAATTTATTACCCTTTATGATTAGCAAAATAAATTACGATGAGCTTAGTTTCATCAGTTGCATATAATGTATTAGACCTACTCCATCAATGAGTTATTTTCCTTACAAATGGAGCCTCTTGTATCTCCCTTAGATCAATGACTAGATTTGCTTACCACCACATAACCACAATTAGTCTTGTTGTTAAATACTTATAAAGAAATTTTTGTTATTCCCTCGTGTTTGCCTCTTAATAGATCTGAAAATCATGTCATTATTTGACAGTCAAATTATGGGCCTATTAAGCTCAAATTATACCATTATCCTCATACGAAAAAATTACAAATTGAAATAATGGTACAAAATATATTGAATGAGGGTATCATCACTTCTAACATCAATCCATTGTTTTCATTTATAATTTTTGTAAGGAAGAAGGGTGAAACATGAAAGATTTGCACTAATTATTGAATTTTGAATGTAGTAATAATTAATGATAATTTTCCTTTTCTTACAATAGATGAACTCATTGATGAGTTGTTAGGAGGGAAACTCTTTTTAAAAATGGACCATGGTTCATATTACCATTAAATCTTGGTTATGAAGGAAGAGAAATATAAAACAACCTTATGTTCATTTACCAATGACTTACAACCTACTATTTAACTAACAACCGGGTTCCAATCTTGAGTTATTTAAAAAAAAATTCATCATATTCAATAATACCTAGTGCATTAGGATGGAAAGGACGTATCTACTTAGAAAAATCACGTTACCTTAAAATCAAATTTTCCTTATCTCAACCTCAGAAACAAGATTGATTTTAATGAAGAATAAGATACAATGAACATATACAAATGGATAATGAGGAAATTAAAAATGGAGTTAGCAAGGCCATGTATCAAACAATCTATATAAAATAATGAGACATAACTTAAGTTCCAGAATAATCAATTCATAGGTAAATGATTATGTGAAAAAAAAAAATATATATATATATATATATATATATATATATTATTATTATTATTGGAAGGGGTAGGAAATAATATATCTCGTGAACCTTCTCTCCTTGAGTTTCCTTTGTTTTTCTAATGTACAAATCTATGTGTGATAATAGAATTGAAAGAATAAATAATATGATTGTAGAATTTTCAAGTAAATTGTTGTCATCTGTTTTAGATTTTTTTTTCTTTATACTATTATATTTTATCTTAATTTTAACTTTTTATTTATTTATATGTAATTTCATTATGATGAAAGGTATTATTGTAATTACCTTGTGTATTATGTCTCTTTTTTTAAATAATAAATCTCAAGTATTCTTCTCTTTTATCAGTTTTCAAATTCTTAATTAATTTTTTACTTTATTTTTAAGTTATATCTTTAAATTTTTAAAATATGAAAAATAATTCATCTTCATTTTCATTATATATATATATATATATATATATATATATATATACATATATATATATATATAATATTCATTGTCAAAAAGTAAAAGAAATAACTATTTATTTTATCAGTAAAATAACAGTTCAAATTTCCCATACATATTGTAATGAATAATATTTAATGAAATTGAAGTCCTTGTACATCAATAGGAACTGAATAAAATTTTATATTATTTTTCAATAAGATAAATATTAATCGTTTTCTCATTATCTAATAATTTAAATAATCTTATTACTTATTGTTAATTTATCCTTTTAAAATTTAAATGATTAAATATCAAATATCATAACAAAAATTATATTTTAAACCAATAACTGTTCAATTTATATTAACTTTTATATTAATTTTTAAATGTGACAATTCTACTTTGTATTAATTTTCAAATATGATAATAATTCAACTTTATAATAGTATTATTTTATAATACTTTACAATATTTTATAGAATATATATATATATAACATGTAAAAATGTTTTAAAAAAAATTATACTAATTGACAAATGAACATTTTACTCAAACTACTTAATACTTAAATCATTAAAGTGATATTGTTCTTACATTTTTTTTCATTTAAAAAACATTTTTATTGCAGTCAACTTTTAGAAATTCTCACTGTTAAATTTTTTTATATATATTAAATTACTAATCCTTTTATAATCAGTCATTTTTTTAATATATGTTTTTGGACCATGGAACTCATCAATAGTATTATCAGTTTTTTTAAGCTTATGTAAATATCTTTAAATAAATTTTTTCTAGATATTTTTAGATTAAAGAATAAGAAAAAAATGAAAAAATTTATCTCATAAATTAAAAATAATTTATGCATGAGTTAAAAAAATGACATCGAAAATTTTGTAGATATTAGTTGATTAAAATAATTTCTAGAGATTTTTAGATTAAAGAATAAGAAAAAAATGAAATAATTTATCTCATAAATTAAAAATAATTTATGCATGAGTTAAAAAAAATGACATCGAAAAATTTTGTAGATATTAGTTGATTAAAAAGTTATATTTGGATAAATTTTGTTATTTATATTTATATCTCAACAAAATTATAAAAAAATAATCATCAAAATGTATTGATATATAAATGTTATAATGTTAAATGATTTTTAGACAAAACTAATTTTATATTTAAATGAAACATATATAAGTACTTGTCCAAAAAGTTGAAAAACTATATAAAACACACAAGCGCTTTTATTTTATTAAAATTACTAAAATATAATATAAAATTACTTAAATATTTAGATTAAAAATATTCTCACAATTCTTTAAATTTTAAAAATATTTTGCAATCACTAAAGTTTACAAAATTAGGTTTTTTATAAAAGTCATAAACACTACTTTTAAGTAGTGAAAAACTGTGAATAGACAAGTTATAGGTAGAAATTTTATACTTATTTTTATTTTATAAACATTTTTTAAAAATCATCAAAAATTATATAAATAATGTATTTTTAATATTCAGTACATAAAAAATTATAAATAGAATTAATAATGAATATATTTAAAAGTGTTATAATATATATTACTCTAAGAATTAAAGATTTATTCATCATTTTTATTATTTAGTTTTTTAATTTAGTGGTCTAAAAACTAATTATTTTTACCATTAGTATTTAATTAAGTAAAAATAAATATTTTAATAATTAAGTTAAAAAATTATGAATAGAAGAACTCTCTAATTAAATAAATTTGATAATTATATATTTTATATTACAAATATTAAGTAAATGTTTAATTGATTATATAAAGATTTTAGATAAAAAAATATTATGAATTATGTTGGATTGAATTATATGATTTTGTGTAATGTTTAAACAAGTAGTGTCATGAAGGTACTATGTTTTGATGATATATGGTGTATGTATGTAGTTAGGGATTTGCTATGAAATATCTAAGTTCTACAAGTAGTTTTTATAGGTTAAGTAATCGTAGAAGGAGATTCCAACCATTTACTTAGGGATGAAAGTAATAATTATTATTTGATAGATATACTAATACGATCACTTAGTGATGTTTAGGTGATTAAATGTTACAAGATACCTAATGTTTGATAAATATAACAAGGGTTAATCTTTGACTCTCAACTAAATATCTATATTTTGAAAATCGTGAAGTGTTGTATATTCTATGAGAGAATTTAATAGTTATGATACTAAGTATTAAAGACATGTTATGTAATTAGTGAATTGTAAATATTGTATTTGTAAAGTAAATGTTTGCATTTTATGAAAATAAAATAAAATTGAATTATGAAATTATGAATTAATTTTAAACATGTTTAAAGTATATTGGGATGTTTGTATATGTATGGATAATCATGATGATTTTATTTTTACACAAGACTAAATCATATTACACGAGACAAATCTAAATAAAAGTAAGTTGAGTAGAAATATAAAAGAAATTTAGTTTTGTAGTTTTTAATTATTTTATAATAA